CGATGACGATGACGATGACGATGACGATGACGATGACGATGACGATGACGATGACGATGACGATGACGATGCCGACGACGACGGAAATAATCATAGTTCCGTTGCATGCTTAATATTCCGTTAAAGCAAAATAAAAACCCAATTAATTTGAGCAATTATGAATATTTCTCTCACGAATACGTTACTGCTCTAACAAATCTTCGACCTCACTCACTATTAGCTTGACTTTCAACTTGACTAATTTATACTGAAACCGTTGCTACAGGGTATTTGAGTGCCCTTAAGTGCAAGATGAAATGTAATTGTAAACATTAATTAAAAATGGCAGGAAAAAGTCGCCAATGATTGGCTGTTGTGGGAATGGGAACACACACATGCAGCGAAGATATCCCTAGAGATCCAAATCTACGTTTTCACGATGGATTTCTCGGAACACGATATTGCGATGGTGATTCCTTGCCGATCAGTTAGCATTGGTTATATTTAGCATTCTAGCCATGCTATCCTATTCTGTTAGCCTACTTTATATAACCAAATAAATCTCACCTGAGATTTGCCACCTGCTGATTGGTGTATGACTATACGTGTAGGTTGGTAAGTTCAACTATCGTAAGACGAAAACCGCATAATCAGGGGGATCGCTAAAGCGCATCACTTATAAGGATGGTTTGACAACAGCCATCTATCTACGAATTGAAGTGACATAAGGCGATATATGTCTATAAAACATCGAAGGTATGACGACGTGTGAAGTCATCTAAACGCATGTGGGAAATCTGTGCAGTTTTTAGCAGAACTGGGACCAAATGTAAGTTTTCAGTGTGTTGACCTACGGGGGTCTCTGTATGCACAAGTAGATTACAACTCAGTTAAAAAGAGCAAGTTCATCAAATTGCGTTGGTTGCTTTCGGGTATTAAGGTACACTTTCTTAGATTATGGTGTATCGAGGATTGATTAAAGGCAGTATTATTTTATGTCTGACATCTATCATTCTGCAGATATCTAGATCGATTTCTACTGATTTAATCGATTAATAATAATTGATCTACTAATTGATCTAATTAGTAATTGATTTAATACTAATCGATATCTACTATTTGATCCTAGAAATACTAATTGTTTGCTCTCATAAATATTTAATAAATGCAAACTCTGTGAACACGCGTGTTTCCAAGATGGACGAACCAGTAGCTGTCACCAAACTGTCAGCTTTCAATGATTTTATTAAATATGACTAATGTTATTATCATAGGGGAGGATCAGCATAGACTCCAAACCAAAATAATAAAGCTAATTTCGACTATAACCTTATATTATAATAAGATATTATTAATAATTTATGAATGTGGAGCAATGGCTACGATACATAACATATCGCGAATTCTGGATTAGCGGACTTATTTCTTATTGCTACACCTAAGTTATAATATCTTGGCATAATAAAACAAGATTTAATCCAACATCATAAACTACATATCCACATTAAAAGCTGCTTTCATCTGGCGTTCATAATTAGATGTATCGTCGCTAACGAGCGTGCTCAAAATATGAGAAGTCCCAGAAATACAACTTTGAGCATTTATTCTTATGAAAAGGCTTCATGTTTCGCGAGAAGTTAGGAATTCTGAATCGGATTCCGTGGCGAATAAACTCATCTAGCTATAACGATGACGATCTTTATTAGCTAAATCAACTTGGAGATTTGAGTAGAGTATTGGTAATGAACCATTTTTTGACTCTTGTTCACATAACCTTAGGCATGCACTAGACACACTTCAACATATTCTGGTCTCACGAACGCAAATTAATGTGCCTTATTAAAAAAGCTAAGCTAAGCTAAGCGAGATACCAGAAGTAAATCTCAATCGTTAACGATTAACGTTTCAATATATTGCGCATGGATGAACATTACGTCTCTCCAATATCTTACCTTCCACACGTAAGTAGGGCGCGCAACATGTTCTATATACCTGCCATTATTTACTGAAATAATAGGCTATTTATGTATGGTCAATATGGATCACGATGATCATCAATGAACTTGTATAGGTCTTTGACCGCGGCCTTTCTAAAGTGACCATAATTTTATCAAACTATTTCCGAGTGTTCAATGGTTTCTATTCAATTTGGGTGTCGATTCGCTACAGGTGAAAGCAGTGAATAGGTCATCTGTGCCTAGAGTAATAGGTTTCCTTTTCTATAGTCGAGTGCCTAATTATTGCCTAATATTGCGGACGTTTCGCGAAGATTTTCCAGTTCTTCAGAAAATGTCTAAAATGTCGTGGTTGTGGTTAACATCCTTGCAAGTGGTGCACTCATCTGATAATACGCCTATGATTGCAGCATACAATACCAGATGTACTTAATAAGAACGCTAGATGAGCAGTCACTGGTGCTTTACCACGAAATATGTACATTCACATTGACTTTGTTATTCATTTGACTGACATCAGCATTTGATGCTTTGATATCCTTCCTTTTCCATCCCTAGTTTATCATTCTTAAGATTTTATCAATAGAGAAGATGCTTTGTATTAACTCTCATTCAAAGCATTACCGGTCTTACGGCATTACCTGCAGTTAATTTTCAGCTTTTTACTTTTAAATGTGTAAAAGGAAACACATATCTAAACGACACGTTTGCGCGCATGACAACAACCACGTTTATGATGATTTTATACGTTAACTATATATACCAAAATGTTAAATTTGATCTACGTATCTTTAATTTGTACCCGAATTTGATGCTAGCATTTATTACTAAACTTTTTTAAGGCGTATTACTGTAATCCTTGAAGTCGCATAACGCGTTTGTGCAATTAACTTTTCCTACGAGAAGTGCGTTCTTCTCAAGGTTAATCGAATGATATCCGAGTGGATATTTGTACCCGCAAATATATATCGGTTCCTGATATCGACTTCGCAGGTATATTAAATAATTGTTCATTTCATTGAAAATAGCACTGCATACAAAGGAATCAATGAAATCAAGGAAGTATCGTAACAATAGCATCGTATCAGGAACAATCGTATCAAGGAAGGTGGGGGGCATATGGGCGTAAACAACATCATGTCGTATAGTAATTATGATCATCACAAACACGTATGTAGAGCATCACTCACCAAAGTTTAAGTGGAAATCTGGCACGTACTGTTCAGTCTCTGAAGTACCGATAGCTGCAAAAAAACAACAATAACAAATGTCATTACATCATTAAACTTTTATAAGCTTTCTCCATCATTGAAAACTGTTACCGCTGGCTCGTTTCTACGTTTTAAGGATACAAAAGCGCATTAGATTCGATTAATCAACAATTGAAAATATTATAATATGCACATTGTAAATTTTAAGTCGGGAGAAATGTAAGTAGCGAGGTTAGAAATACGGAAATGGACCGTTTTAAAACAACAGACGATCTATCAGATCTAAACATCGCAATTCGTCGCCCGATTTAGCAGACAATTTCTCATCAGGGAATTATACCTGCACTGATGAATATTGGCTTGATCGGATATATACTCGGCGAGCGAGTGAGTCAGTGTTAATATCGTGCAAATAGACCGACAGGCCTCGCTTGCTCTTAATGACATCAATCATAATGCTGCGTGGAGCACGGGCTATATGCCGCACTCCTCGTTCTCCGCTCCCCCAATGAATTCTTGTTCTTCAGCGCTTATCTTGGCCAAACATCATTAAATCACAATTGATGGCTAGTCATATATGCCTTCTCTCGCGCGTCATCGAAAAATCGACCGATATTGAAAGCGTTATTAATGCTTGGCTTGACACCCGGCGGAGGTAAAGCCCTGTACGGTGCGCCCCGGTCTTTCACCTCGCCAGGCTCGATGGCTGAATAAATATTTAGCGAGGAAGAAAAAATGCGACCGTCGCGAACGAGTTGTACGTTGTGATAATTTGCAGCTCATAATTCGCGTGTGATGTGGGTCTTTCAGGGCTGTCAAAGTCCCATAACAGTTAAAATTTTACAGGGACTTAATTCCTAATCAGACCCAGTCTAGCCAAAGTCTGGACATGTGATCTACAAACTCAGGCATATCATCGGTGTTTAGTGCAGCAGTAACGATAATTATAAGCGAGCGTTTTTCTAAGGGTTATTATACACGATGATATTTCCATTCGAACATAAACTACGTGCAGTTCTAGCATCCTACATGGCGATATACAGGTTTGGAGGCGTAGCATAATTACTCGATATCATTTTACAAAAATATATATTATTTTTTGTGATACGCGAGTTAATTTAGGGGCGCGTGCTTATTTTAGGTTACAATGCGTTCATTATTTCCGTTATATGTAAACTTGTAGCAATGCGTATATAGTGCGTAGGTGCGATGAGCGCATTTGCAAGGATTGTATTTGTTTACGACAATAAAGGCAGAGTGTGTAACACTTAAAGGTCCACGCGCAAAATGACGAACGCTTTAAGTCGTTAAAATTACTATCATATAAGTTTTAGTCGAATTTTAGCGTTTAGCACGAAAGTAATTATTGAAGGTACTTGTTGATTTTCAATATGCCGTGTTAATACACTATCGTCTTTCTTCATGTCCTAGCTTATGTGCTATAAAACTTTTTATTTCAAAAAGTACATTTTACAATTCACGACAAAGTACTTCATACAAGTGAACGCCTACATCCGTAAGTATGTGTGAGCGTGGGCGCGTGTGCGTGAACACGAACGGGAAAACGTACGAAAAACACCAGAGCATTCTTGCAAGAGTATACTCGACAGTCGACCGTACTGTGCGACATTCTGAATGATAGGCTAAGCTAGAGTTTTCTCCTCTTCCAGCCATTTGCCACGGCAAAAAAACATCTGAGCAGCGCTTACCGACTATAGTCACAACAATGGCCGTTAATACAGCATCATCCTAAAGGATTTGTTGTCGCGTGTGAAGACTGAGGCTTGAGAAATAAATACATCATTGTATCCATCTCCGTATGTGTGTGCGTGTATGTATGCGTTTATGTTCGTACGCACGCACGCACGCACGCACGCATGGACGTACGTACGTATGTGCGTGCGCCCGCGTATGTGTATGCGTGTGTGTGCATGTGTATGTACGTACGTGTCTCGCGTCTCGCGCGCGCGCGCGCGTATGTGTGTGTGTGTGTGGTGTGTCTGTGTGTGTGTTGCGATGCGCCGTAGCGCGCATGTGCCGTGGTGCGTGTCGCTGTCGCGTGTGCGTAGTGCGTGTGGGCGTGTGGGCGTGTGCGTGTGCGGTGTGCGTGTGCGTGTGCGTGTGCGTGTTGCGTGTGGCGTGTGCGCGTGTGTGTGTAATGTGTGGGGGGGGCGCGGGGGAAGATAGACGAACTAAAATTTGCGTGAAAGTGAGAGAGGGATGAATGGATGGATGGATAGGATGATGGATGGATAGATAGATTGATGGATGACGTCAGTAGGAGGGAGAGAACGATAATAGCGCGGGAATGAGGGAGGGCGAGAAAGAAATGGACCGGGGAAGAGTATATATAAATGTGTGTGTGTGGTGAGAGAGAGAGAGGTAGAGAAAGAAAGCAGAAAGAGAGAGAGAGAGAGAGAGAGAGGAGAGGAGAGAAGAGAGAGGGTAAACGAAGAGATAGAGAAATGAGAGAGAGAGAGAGAGAGAGAGAAGAGAGAGCAGCGCAGCACAAGAAGTATCGTGAGGACGAGAGAAGAGAGCCGGAGCAAATGAAAGTTCGATCAGACACCTCACAGCAGCAGCAGGCGAGTCTCTACGGCCATCGAAATTACAAGATTTCTGCCGTTAGTATTTGCATGAAACTGCCTAAAAAATCTTTTTAGCAGAAAGGGTTAGTGGTATTAGGGCAGCGGGCAATGTACACCCAAAGACTGACGCCCATTGTATAAGGCTGCCGTGTCATGCTGAAGATAAGGTGTGCACTGACTGGCCGTCGCTCTATGAAAATGCACACTGAAAGATTGCCAGTCCGGGATTAGGAGCAGCGTGTCATATTAGCAGGGTATAACTCCATGTTGTTATGGATCCAATAAACGAGTGAAATGAAGTAATTAGGACGGCTCTACGTGCTAGCGGTAAATAGAGTTCGTGCCACCGAGTCGAACGCTGGAACGACTACGACTCGCACGAGTCGTCCATTAAGAAGTGAGCCGACGATCGTCTTGCTAACGCTGTGGGGCAACCGACCTCGACACCGAAATACACGTGCACAGCGCCGCTCTAGTCTCTCTCGTCTCAAAATCTCTCCGTCCGTCTCTCTCGCTCTCCATCTCTCTCGTCATGCGGCTCCTCTTAAGCTCGCTCTCTTTTCTTATTTCTCTCTCGCTCGATCTCTCTCCCTCATTCGCTCTCTCGTCAGTCTCTCCTCTCGTCTCTCTGCCCTCGATTCTCCGTCTCCTCTCTGTACTTTCTCTCTCGTTCGCCTCTCTCTCTTTTTGTGCGTGCGCTCTATCTATCTATATTTTCTTCGTCTCTTTTCTTTCTTTGACTATCTATGTAGTCTATCCGTCTATCCGTCGCGTTCATCCGATCCATGCCATCCATCCATCCATTCATTCATCCATACTCCATACCATCCCATCTCATCCATGACCATCCATCCATCCCTCCCATATGCCCATCCATCCATCCATGCCATGCCTATACCATCGAGGCCATCCATCCATCATGTGCCATCCATACCATCTCATCCATACCGATACCATCCATCCATCCATCGCTCCATTCGCATCCATCCATCCATCCATCGGCATCCATACCAAATCCATCATCTATCATCCATACCATGATCCATCCAATCCATCCATGCCATCCATCCCATACCCATCCATCCATCCAGATGCCATTCCCATCCATCCATCTCGCATCACCATTAACCATCCATGCATCCATCCATTCGCGCATCCATCCATCTGCCATGCCATCGCATCATCCATTCATCGCATCCATCCATCCATCCACCAGTCCATCCCATCGCATCCATCCATCCATCCATCCATCAGTCCATCCATCGCATGTCCATCCATGCCATCCATCCATCCATCCCATACCATCCATCCACATCCATCCATCGTCATCCATCCATCATCCATACCATCTCATGCCATCATCCATCCATCCATCCATCCATCCATCCATGCCATCCATCGCAATACCATCCATCCAGTCCATGCCATCCATTCATCCCATCCATGCCATCCATCCATCCATCCATAGACCATCCCATCCATCTCATCCATTCCATTCCATCGCATCCATCCATCCATCCATCACCATGGCCATCCATGCCATGGCCATCTCATCCACTCCATCCCGATTGCCATCACCCATACCATCCATGCCATCCACCATCCATCCATCCATGACCATGGTCGCATCCATTACCATGCCATCCATCCATCCATACCATCGCATCCATCGCATGGGCCCATCATCCATCCCATCCATCCATCCATCCACATCCCATCCATCACATCCATCCGTCCATCCATCCATCCATCCAATACATCCATCCACTCCATCCATCCATCCATCCATCCATCCATCCATCCATCCATCATGACCATCCACCATCACATCCATCCATCCATCCATACACCATGCCTATCCATCCATGCCATCGAATCGAGTCCATCCATCCATCCATCATCCATTCCATCCATCCAATCCATCAGATCCATCCAGACCATCCATCCAGTCCATCCATCCATCCATCCTACTCCATGTGCACCATTCCATCGGTCCATCCATCCATCCTTTCGCATCCATCATCCATCCACATCCATCCATCCATCCATGCCGACTCCAGTCCATACCATCCATTCCATCCATCCATCCATCCAATGCCATCGCATCCATCCCCATCCATCCAATCCACATGACATCCATAGCCATCCATCCATACCATCCAATCATTCCCATGCCATTCCATCCATGGCCATCCATCTACCATCCTCCAGCGCGCGAGCCATCCATCCCATCCTCCATCATCCGAATCCATACCATCCATCCATCATTCCATTCCATCCATCATGCCATCATCCATCCATCCATGCCATCATCACCATCCATCCATACCATCCATCCCTCCATCCATCGCATGCCATCCATCCATCCATCCATACCAACCATCCTCCATCCATCATCCATCGCATCCATCCAATCCATCCCCATTCATACCATCCATTCATCCATCCTCCATCCTACCATCCCATACCATCCCTCCATCATTCATTCATCCCATCAAATCCTTAACAACATAGCTATCGATATATCGATCGATCAGTTTACTGCTAGTTACTGCTCCCTGGTTTTCTTTCCCTCTGCCGCCTTGTCCTTTCTCTCTCTCTCTCTCTCCTCTCTCCTCTGCGATCCTCTGCTCGTCTTCCTCTCTCTCTCTCTCTCTCTGGCTGCGTCTCCTCGTCTGCTATCTCTCTCTCTCTCTCTCTCTCTTCTCGTCCTCTCTCTCTTGCTCTGCCCTCTCCTCTTTCTCTCTCTCTCTCTTACTCGTCTCTCTTCTCCCTCTCTCCCCTCTATCTCTCTCTCGTCTTCTCTGTTCCTGCTCTTCTCTCTCTCTCGCCCTATCCTCTCGCGACTTTCTCTCTCTCTCTCTCTCTCTCTCTCGCCCCTCCGAATCTCTCTACTCGTCATCGACATCATCTCTCTGCTCCTCTCTCTCTCTCTCCCTTATCTCCCCCCTCCCCTCCTCTCCCTCTCCCTCTCTCTCTTGCGCTGAGCACATGAGATCCCTTAACAATGGCACGTGCTTGCAAATAGAGGCAGTGATTGTGCGCCGTTTCATAGCGAATCTATCTGCAAGTTTATCAGCAATCTTCTAAAAGCCCACGCGCACATAGCATCAATATGCCCACGCTGATCGGCCCACGTCTGTATACACACTGCGTTCTTCCGTACGGTCTAAGCGAGGGATTGCGGGAAGCCTGATCGCCTCTCGTGCCTTAATAGCATCTCTCCCCTCGTCAGCGGGTATTAATTGACTAAGCGTTTTGTACGCGCTCGACCCAACCGGCATGAATGCGTCGCCTGCTCTAGTATTATTGGCACTTCAGCTGACGCTAATAAGCAGAAATTAAAGACGCGAGCAGCAATGTGCATGGGTGTGCTACACCCGAGCAGAAAAACGAGCAAATTTTTTTGCGTCAGAGCGAATGACGATGTAGCGTGTTGCTGTAAATCATCATGATTATATCTACACCGCCATATAGGTAGGTATAAATATGTTTATTTGTGCGTTTAACAATACGATTATATAATAATACAGTCAGGAGTCTATCCAGTATGTGATCTGATACTATTGATAGACTCCTGATGACAGTTGTAATTTGATGCAAGAATCGAGGGAATTGCGCCTCTAAAACACCTGTCATGAATGGTGGAGTGGATGATGGAGGATGGATGGATGGATGGAGGATGGAAGGATGGATGGATGGATGGATTGGATGGAGTGATGGATGGATGGATGGCATGGAATGGATGGATGGATGGAGTGGATGGATGGAGGATCGATGGAATCGATGGATCGAGTGGAACACTGGATTAGATGGATGGCGATTGATCGATGGATCGAGATGGATCGATGATCGACTGGATTGGATGGATTGGATGGATGGATGATGGATGCGATGGAC